GTAGGTATCCTTCTCCTTAGTCTGTCTAATTCTGGAAATGAAATCTCTCCATTGTGGACCACCAAATTGTATTTCAAATTTATATTCTGAAATTTCTTATGGGCTTGACTATTGTTATTTTCCCCTTCCCCTTTGACCTGACACTTGGCATAGGTGCTACATCAGCTGGAGTATAAAAAGGCATTTTACTACAATGGATACATAGTAGGTTTTGAGATTGGAAAGTAAGAGGTATCTTATTTTATTCTTCTTTACCAATACTCTGCTTATCTTTCATCACTTTCTTTTCCATATTAATTTGGCAAATCATTTTTTCGTCTGTTTAAAGAATGATGTTAGAATCTGGATTAGAATTCCATTATATCTGTATAGTTTTAGGAGTCGTATTGAAATATTCACAATGTTAAAGCTTTCTACTCATGAGCATAGTATATGCTTCCTTTTATGTAGCTCTCTTTTGACTTTCAATAATGGCTTAGTTTTCTTTCTATAAATTGTTTGTTTCTCTGGTTATATTTATTCCTAAGATTTTCATCTTTGGGTTGCTAATTGTATTGCTTTCCTGATTTCATTTTTAGAGCATTTTTTGTCAGTGGAAAGGAGTTTTTCAAAATTTTGTATCTTGACCTTGTACCCTGCCAATTTGATGAATCTTTCTGTTAGCCCCAATTTTCTTGCCAAGCCTTTGGGATAATACCAATCATGAATGGAAATATTTTTATTTTTTAATTGTCAGTTAGTATGCTTTTATCTTACCTTTATTGCTTTACATATCTGGTTGACTTCCAGTGAAATATTGATCAGGAGTGGTGTTAAATGGTATCAATGCAGCATAACAAAATATGTATGAATTATTTATCTTAAAACTGATTTGCTTCAACCCAGTGCTCCAAGGTGTGAAGACAACATGCCGGCGTGGAGTAGGGAAAACTGATTTGCTACAAAAACTTTTATCCAAATCATGTAAAAGGTTTTTTAAAAATAAAATGATGGTAATTTGCTCTGTAAACAAACCCAACCCAGTAGTGTCAACTGGATACAGATTCATAGTGATCTTATAGGACAGAGTTGTGGTTTTTAAGTCCTATCCAGTCACTGCTGACCCATAGCAACCTTATGCACAACAGAAAGAAACACTACCAGGTCTTTTCCCATCCTCACAATTGTTCTTATGCTTGAGCCCATCGTTGCAACCATGGTAGCAATCCATTTCTTGGAGAACCTTCCTCTTTTTACTTGGGCCTCCATTTACCAAGCACGAGGTCCTTCTCCAGGCACTGGTTTCCCCTGACAACATGTCCAAAGTGCGAAAGAGGAAAGTTCACCATCCTTGCCTCTAAAGAGCGCTCTGGCCTTACTTCTTCCAAGACAGATCAGTTTGTCCTTTTAGCAGACCATTGAGCTTATAATATTCTTCAATAGCATCACATTCAAATGCACAGAATAACTACCCAATATTTCTCAGCCTGTGAATCTTTACCATAACAGAAAGCCTCATATATCTCCTGCAGGGGGACTGGTGGGTTTAAACTCTTAACCCTGGGGTTAAGGGCCCAACACTTAGCCCACTAAGCCAAGAGGGATCTTTAAATAATAGGTAACACATCCTTTTTGATCAGTCTTCATTACCCTGCCTCACTCCCCACTCCCATTTCATTTGGCCCTGAAGCATTCTAATAAGTGAGGTGTACTTCAACGCTTGTCTTGAGGAAGGCTTCTGGAAGAACTCAGACTGAAGCACCACCACATTAGGTCTTGTGCATCTAGAGCCATGTTGAACAATGCCAACAAGCTAAAGCTCTCTTGTCTATGTTTTCTAAGGGAAAACGAAATGAATATGTTTCTCCTGAGAAAGTCAGCATATTTAGTGAAGAAAAGGACCATAGCAGCCACTGCTCAATTTTCTGTGTTGTTTCCTCAAATTGTCAGCTTGTCTTGAGCACTGTTGGCATCGTGGGCATGACCTGGGCAGCTAGCTGCCACATCAGCCATTCCAAACCCCCACCCACTCCTCTTCCTGTAAGGAGTGACAGTCTCACAATTCCATGGGGGTAGTGCTGCCCCGTCCTGTAGGGTGGCTGAGAGTCAGCACTGACTAGATGGCAGGGAATGGGTTTCTTCCTCATCCAATTGGAGTTCTACATAGCAACACTGGAAAGTCTCATCCCAAAAGATGATAGTTGAAACTCAAACCAAACCCACTGCTGTCAAATCAATTCCAACTCATCGTGGCCCTAGAAGAAAGAGTAAAACGACCATTAGGACTTTCAAGGCTATGAATCTTTCTTTTCGTTTCCTTTCTTTTTAACAAACATTTTATTGTCCATGTAACATGCAGTTCAATAGTTCAATCACATCAAGGAGAGTTATACAATCTTTACCATATCAATTTTGGAATATTTTCTTCTTTCTTGTACTCTTTGTTCGTAGCCCCTATCCTCCCCCATAAGCCCCCCAACCTCATCTGCCATGCCCCTAAGAAACAATTAATCCAGCTGGTGTCACTATAGATTCACCCATCCTGGATCTCAGATACAAAACAATGTACAAAAATGAATAATAACGAATCAAAAAACCCCTACCAACAGTAACACAAAAAGAGACAAATCCCAGGAGGCCGCACGCTTCGCAGAAGTCGACTGCCGCAGCTTTCTGCCCAGGAGCGGTTGGTGCTTCCCCGCCCTAGCGAGGGTGCTCCTCCAGGGCTCCCGAAGGTGACAGCGTCAGAAATCCAGGTCACGTGCACCCCGCCCCTCATGATAAATGTCATCGATTCTGTTCTCTTTACGATCAGGTTTGCTTCTTCACTTGTTAGTATGCAACGTAAGATGAAAATGAAGTATTAAAAGACTGACTATTCCCTGTCTCACCAATATGATGAAGCTATTTTTTGTTTCCCAAACTGTGGAGAACTAGCCTCAAAATTGGATGCAAATTAGTATCATTTTAGCTTACTTTTAAAAATCTCAAGCAGTGAACTATGAAATGTTTGTGATAGAAGTGTAATTTATTCTTTCTGACTAATGGCATCTTGTTGCTGTTCTCAGGGATAGATATGTGATTTTTCCAAATACAGTTTTGCAGCCAATTTTAATATTTGAACAAAGCCTACTGGCTTCCCCAAATAGGAGAGGGAGTATGGGCCATTGTACTTTTCCTGTTAGCCTCTACATTTTGGCAATCTTTAACATCCTCCTGAGCAAGCAATATTGCATAGCTATGTGATAGTTTTTTCCTAAGAATTAGTGACAAAATAATCCCAAGGAGTTGGAGATTAAAGATGTCCAAAATATCCAACTCATCCAGATGTTAGTCTACTCCATTTTCCCCAGACTCCTCCCTTGATTATGTTCCCTCGTGTCCCTGTTCTGAGATTCAATGAAAAGTTCCACAGAAACTTGCAAAACTTTGAGAAAGTATCTCCCATGGTGGTGGGTGCTGTTTAATTTAAAATCCAAGGTCAGACTAAGGAGAGCCAAATGCAGGGTCCAGATGCCGGAAGCCTAAAATGTCCACAAGCCATAGCAGGTCTTCGTGCTTCTAGCAAGGCTCAGCCAGGAAAAAGCAAGTTTGCCATTCCAGGCGAGGCGATGTGTACCAGAACCAGCACGGATACCCAAGAAAGATGGTGTCCGAAGTCACCCTCTCTACCAAGGTAAAATCAAAGATGGACCCAAGTGAGGCTTCTTCACCCCTTCTACTAAGGTAGTTGGGTG